TTCTCCCACCATCCGCTTTAAGCTTCAAGTGACGAATTCTACAATTTTAATCCTATTTATGCTGCTATTATATGTTCAATATTCAATTCTTTATGACTAGCCTTAATCGAAAGTGCTCTTCCATTATTGGGAGGGCTAATTGACCATAAGTGCTTACACTTATGGGAAACCTCGATCCCATATCAAAAAGTCCTCGTTAAATGAGTGTGAAATCTTTGGATGGCATCTTTTCTACAATCCAATATGTCTTCTGAAAATTCGACCCTCCAAAGCTCTCATCAAAACAAAAAATAAAAAATAAATGTAGAGAATTGTATTGGGAAGCAGTCGTGAATTTTCAGAGCCCATATGGATGATTCAGCTGTGTTTGGAAGATGAGGTTTTGATGAAGGTCTTGTTGGAAAGCATTGTGGAGGATTGTGTCTCAAGTTGGAGCCTTTTTACATATCTAAAACTTTATCCATTCATTGCTATCACCATGCTTCTGACTACCTCTAGAAGGTGTCTACTCTTCTTCTTTGCTGCTCTATTTCATGTCGGTGTGTACAAACGTATGTTTTGATGTTGTATCTCTTGAACTGACAAGTATTTCCCAAATATTTATTTTCTTATTATAATGCATTAATTACTGCACCATATTGAGTCTAGATTGTCTTATATGAATTTTTAAAGCAAGTAAACACATTACCCTTATTTTTCATCAAAGATAACAAAATAACACGAGAAAAAAAATCAATAAATGTCACAAAATAATGATAATCATTCATAAAATTTGTAGAAAAATATTCTCAACGTTAGAATGTATCAAGTCAAAAACACCTGAACTCTTATTCCCATAGCTAATATCAGAGCTCCTAGCAAGCTTGCTAAACTTGCAAGCATCACAAACAAACTATTGTTTATTTGTCTTTTTATAGAAGGAATACAACCAACTTAATCAACTAAAATAAGAGCGTCTCATGCGTCTGTGATATAACAACAACACATCCTCCACACTCCTCCTAGATTCATCTACTCTTTCACTCTCTACCATGAATGTCAAAGCTAAGTCCATCTCCTCTCGGTCTTAAGTACCAGAGCCTTATGTCACGTTTCAGTTCCAAGTGTCTGAGCTGTCTCTTTCTCTTGAAAGATTACCTTAGGAATATCAAAAGAAAAACATTCTTGTTGGAGAATAATGACACTAATAGATAAAATGTTCATTGGAAAAGAAACAACATGCAAAACATTGGACAAATTTATATAATTGGTACCCCTCACCATACCATTACCAACTACAGGCTATGTTGTACTATCAATAGTTTGGATGTTTTCTGACACTGCTAGAGGAGTATAAGAAGAAGACTATCTGGGTCTGTCACTTGTCGAGATGTATCAGAATCTACTATCCATTTGGATGATCTTGTGGTGGAAATAGAGGCGAGAGCATGTGTATCACAACTACCTTTGTCAGAGTAAGCATAAGTGACAATGTTATCCCTTGATGACGTCTGGTTGACAATATCATCTTCAACAACTTTAGACACTCATGATCTTCATTGTTAAAAACACACTTGTCTCTCTCTCCTCTGCTACCATCATATTTACCCGGTAGACTCGTTTTTCACCTTTTCGACCACCATGGCCACGACCACGACCACGGTCTCCACCCTGTTCACGTTCACCTGTCTCTCTCTCCTTAGGTGGCCTAAGACAGGTCTTGCTCAGATACCCAACTTCACCACAGTTGTAGCATTTGCAAGTCTCCCTTTAGATACTTATCATACTTGAGCTCGAGGCAGCCAAAGCTGATCACGCACTCGGAAATCCACTCAGCTTAGAATGTAACATCATGCGACTCTTCTCCTGTATGATCCTCTAATTAAAAGTCGGTTTCAAATGGGCCAAAAACTACATAACCTTTAATTGTGTAAATATCTCCCTTTTCTTGCATGTCAGATTGCCTCAATTCAACATTGGTGAGAAGTGATTAAGATCTTCCCACAACTGCTCCAGATCTATGGCATATTATTGAATTCATCTATCAGTTTGTACCACTACTTCTATCTCATGCTGAATCTGGAAACACCCTTGTGTGGTTCTCAGTCCTAGCATAAATTCTCTTCAACTTTGCCCTAATGTCCCTCACCTTTCTAATGTAATTGACGAAACCATCAAACTGAGTAGCTAGGTGTAGCCTAAGGCGTGTGTGATCCTCCACTTATCCCCCTAAGCACTGTCACTTTTTGGTTCGTCCTCGGTCAAATATCCCTCTAATCTCTTTCCTTCTAGAGCCGTCTCAATTTGACGTGATCAACTCAGATATGTGACCGGTCTATCAAGCTTCAGATCCACAAAAGGAAGATCTAACTTCACTCGCATCATAATACGTGTTGAGGTGGTATCTCTCATTGAAATGCTAGCTCCATGATTGAATCTGACCAAAATATTCAAAACCTCAGGACCTATTTTCCCCAAAATCTCCAGTCATTTACCTCCAGCGCTATCTCTGTCTCTTGACATCTCCTTCGCGTTTTTACGCTGCGATCACATGGTGGCCTCCCTGGCTAGCTCTAATAGCGGTTTTATAGAAACTATACTGCAATCCCATTGTTGTCGTCTCAGTTAGCTCTAAACGTGACTGTATCGCGAGTTTTCATGTGAGTTTTCCACACCCGTCATTGTTGTCCCTGTTATCTCTGATCGCATTATCATCCCAGTTAGCTCTAATCGCGTTGTATCGTGGCTTTTTCACACAAGTTTTCCACACCCGTCATTGTCGTCTAAGGTGGCTCTAATCTCCACAATCTCGTGGTCCTCTCCACTGCAGCATCGTACCAGTGAGATTTAGAAACTTGCTTGCCACAATCCTGGCTATTTCCGCGACTGCATCGCATGAATCCATGCAATCCCAACAACTTTAAGTCTCTGTTTGTTGTGTTCCCCCGCGACAAATGGGAGTTTTGAGTCTTTATACACATACACCGTTCTCAACTGTCATAGACGGCTATGGTTTTGCTTTAATACCAAATTGAGAAAAAAGTTCAAAAACCTAATTTGTACATTCTTAAAATAGGCTTAAATAGGATATTACAATATTTTACAAATAAACCTCAAGACTTCTTCAATATTCTCTTTTTACCAATAACGTCCACTTCTCAACATCTCTGATATGTACGAGACCGGATGTTGCACATACAATTGTAGTGGTCAGCAAATACATGAGTAATCCTGAAAAGCATTATTAGGAGACGGTGAAGTGGATTCTCAAATATTTGAGAGTAACAACCAACAATGCTTTATGTTTTGGAAGTGCAGGTATTGATCTACAAGGATAGATTTAGATTTGATAAGGGATATTGATGGTATAAGAAGCAGAAAATGATATATCTTCATTTCAGAGAACACACCAGTGAGTTGGGTTTGAAGGCTATAGAAAATTATTGCACTTTCAACTATAAAAATCGAGTACATTGCTATTACTGAGGCTAGCAATGAGATGATTTTGTTGCATTGCTTTATGATAGAACTGATCAAGTAACAGAGAATTGGAAAGCTTCATAATGATAGCATGAATATTATTCATCTAGCTAATATTGTTGTTTTTATGTCATGATAAAGTATATTCAGCTATGGTGTCATTTTATTCATTCTCTCATAGAAGATACATAGTTATTCTTGGAGAAGATACACACAGCTCAAAATTTTGCAGATATATTGACTAACCTGATGACTATCGAGAAACTGAAGTTATTATTGGCTTTAGCGGGAGTCTAGGAAAGTTGAGATCGGAGATAAGCCACGCTACATGAAAAGACTATAAAGATGGTATAGATATGAATGTGCATAAATTGAATGCAATCAATCTTCAAGTGGGAGATTGTTAAGAGTTGTGGAGCTTGATTGGAAGTCATCAGTAGCAACAGACACCCGAGGGGCACCCAGGTGCCAGGTTCAGAGTGGAGCCATAATGCTCATTTTGAGCACCCCCGCGTCTTTATCCAAAGGGGACGACGCCCCTATGTCATATGGGAGCGCCTAGACACGGTTTATATCATTTATAAGTTTAGAAACAGAGCACTTGGAATTGCAGTGCTATGGTGCCAGGAGCGGTTTGCACACAATTCATATTTAAGCCCTCATTTCACAAAGAATTAGATCTCTTATTTGGTGTATTCTTGATGGTGCGTAATAGGAGCAAAGCTGCGTGAAGCGAGTAGAGGGTGGATTTCGATGAGTGTTTTCTCTTGTGAGATCAAGAGAGGAAAGAACATGAATTGTTTAAGTTTTAGTGGTGTAGAGAATAAATCTGAGTTGTGTATTTTTGTACTATTCTCCTTTCATATTAGAACTTTTGGTGTGATGTAGCTCTGTGGTTCTTTCTCGTTCTCAAGCTTTTCACATTAAATCATCATGTGTTTTTTTATTGCTTTGTTATGTGCTTCTGTTCAATTTATTGTTGTGGATTTTCGAATCAGTGTGTTTTTTCGTGGGGTGATTGGATTGTTAAATCAATCAAATTCTGTTTTCCATCCCATGCAAATTTTCCTAATTTGTTTACATATTTAATACCTAAATTTTGCTTTTCATATCACATAAAATATTCCAGTATTTTAAATTTTAAGAGGAAGATTTACACACATACCACTCAATTCTTTTGTATTTACATTTATAACACTTGAACTTCAATTTTTACATACATAACCACCTCACCTATGCATGAATAGGAGTATTTGACTCAAGAGTTAAAAGTGATGGCTTTTTAATGTGATATGAAAGCTTTGGGTGTTATAAATGTAAAAGACAAAGGTTAAGTATTAGATATGTAACTACATAGGAATTGGATGATATGTAATTTAATGCCCCCTTTTAAAAAGTGAAATACATCTCTTCATGCGTAGCTAAAAATTGAAGTTTAGGTGCTAGATATGTAAATACATAGGAATTGAGTGATATGTATGTAAATCTTCCTAAGAAAATAAAGTTACCCATGCTAAATGTTAAATTCATCTTCAAAACAGCAAGTCTATGACCACGACATGTTCTCCGCGGACGACATCATGGGCGAAGCGGAGGTCGATCTCCAGCCATTCATTGCCGCCGCAACAGTATTTGGCGACGAAGAGCTGCTTGATGATATGCAAGTTGGGAGATGGCTGAAGTCAAGTGACAATGCTTTGATAAAAGATAGCACCATCAACATCATCAGTGGAAAACTAAAGCAAGAGATATATCTAAAGCTTCAGAACGTTGAGAGTGGAGAACTGGAGCTTGAATTGGAGTGGATTCCTCTGCACCCTTAAAATTTTATTTTGTGGCTGATAATTTGGAATTCACCAAATTGATTTGATCTCGTTTACATAAATCAAAGGTGGCTCTTTTTTTTTTTCCTCGGATGGCTATTTGTGTATATGTATTTTTGTAGGTTAGTTCTGTGTTTAGCAGAAAGTTTCATATAATGTCTCTCATTCATCTTTGAATTGGAACTTCATTAGTTTTGCAGGGTTTGAAATTATTGATATTAGCTTTTAATTTTGTGTTTTGATTGAACACTGTGAGGCCTCTTATTTCTTTTGTGTGTGTGGGTGCGCGCGCGTGCATGCACGCCCGCTACATACCCCGGCCAGTTGGTTGACATTCATGGTTAAAACTCTTCTAGTCGGGGGTTCGAATCCCCCCTGACACAGTTGGTCTTAAAGGGTGATATTGGAAATTCAATTCATCTTTTGGATGATTAGGATTTTTCATTTGATGATAAGGATAATTTTTTTCCTTTTGAATTCATCCTAAAGTTTTATTTTTATGATGACTTAATTTGCTCTTATCCACACAAGTCTCTCTCTGCTTTATAAGATTTGATGAGGATGATACTTTTAAAATCCAAACTGCCTTCCAGTTCTCCACTCATAGAGGGTTTTTTTTTTTAAATTGAGAGGGGCTTAGTGCAATTTGATGCCAGCTTTTTGTTGCATCGGCCGGATTTATGCTTTTTAGCGTAATAACTCAAAATGAAAAATAAAGGTAAACCTTAAATCTAAAATATCATATGAATGTAGCATTTTTTTTTGTATGATATTGTTTAAGACATTACTAGAATCCTATATATATATATATATATAAATTAAAATGTCCCTCATTCGAACCCTTAACTTAAGGAGACTCAAGACCTTCAAAGAGGTTGCTCTACCAATAGATACAACTGGCGGGTTTAGTAGAATGCTATGTACATATAGTTATTATTTAAATGAAATTTTTTGACAATCAAACCTAAAAAAAGGGGCTAAAGATTCACTCAAACATGAAAGATATTTTACAGTGAAACCACAAAATTCAAGATCTTCTGGGATATTGGTTATTACAGCTTAAAAAAAGTAAATTTCGTACAATTGTCAATTTTATGAGTATATTTAATCCACGGCTGCGGCCGTTTAATACAATGCATTCAATATATAATTACTTTTTATTTGTTTAAAATTTAGGGTTTGTAGAGCACAATGTGGAGTTAGAAAATAAACATCAGTAATTAAATGTTAAATATCACTGGTTGTTAATTTTAAACTGGATTTAATTTATACGAACATCTTTTGTAAGAAAAAATTTGCTATGATTATCATATCTAAATTTTAATAACAAATAAATTTCAAATTAAGTAAATTTAATTTAAGATGTGTAAAATAAACATCTTTATTATTTATTTACATATTGCATTATTTAAAATTCAATAATTAGCACTCTCTTAGGACACAATCTATAGATAAAACCTCACTCTCAACAATCTTTTGAGGATTCACGAGTTTCACCATCATCAAACCGTGATCGCTCGACCATTATCGTTGAGCTCCATTAGAATCAGACAGCCGTTGTTGAGTTCCATTACCGTCAGATCAATAGTGCTCTGTAATTGCCTCCTGGCCACCATTGTCGCAGGTGCCACCACTGCTACCTGATTGCCACTATCGAAGACGTCGGCGTCATATTTTCTGGCACAATATCTTAACCGCTAGCTTTTCTTTATAATAGCTGGGTCATCACCACTTAGTATTTTCCATTATTTCTCTGGTTGATGACGCTCTACTTATGTAATATTGTAATTTGTCATTTAAAGGACAACAAAGTCTTGTAACTTACAACGTTATAGTAGAATCATTTCAAGTGATTTTTCCTTTCTTGGATTTTTATGGAAGAACTTTTGCTATCTTTTTTTTGTTAATTTATGATAGTGCAATATTTCACTCCACCATCATGAATTTACTAGCACATAACAATTTTATGTTTTAATTAATTAAAAATATAATTCTATAAAATATTAGTCGAAATATATTGATCATTGACAAGAAATTATTCCATACGGACACCGCATGCAGAGATGCATGCGGTGTCCGATCTCCACCGTTGATCATCTCAATCAAAATTTTTTTTTAAAAAAAAGTTGAAAGTGGGGCCCACCGAAATACATCTTTACGGTGATCGACGGTCTAGATCGATGCGGTGTCCGTAAGCAATAATTTTTCATCATTGACGGGTTAAAAAATATTTTGACATTAATGACAAATGTTATAAATCATAAAAACTTTTTTTTAGCATATATGTTCGTATAATACTAATAATTTTGAAGAAAAAAAATCTTGGAACTACTTATTTAAATAAATAATAATAAAAAAGAACTGGATTGTTGCTTTAAAATTTTTTTATCATTGCTACTTATAATACCAGTCACTAGATGCTTGTTTACTGAGTAGAAGATAAATTAATAATTTTGAAGAAAAAAAATCTTGGAACTAATTTAAAAAAATAATAAAAAAAAAGAACTGGATTGTTGCTTTAAAAATTTTTTATCATTGCTACTTATAATACTAGTCACTAGATGCTTGTTTACTGAGTAGAAGATAAAACATATACTTACTCTGATGCCACTCTAAATTTGGGTCGGCGGGGACAGGTTCGGATCTGATCTGAAAATGATGTCCTGAATCGGATCGACATGAACCCGACCCCAAATGGTAAATAGGTCAAATTATCTAACCCAAACCCGACTCGAAAAAATATTCGTGTCAATCAAAATCCAGATTTTTCGACTCGTGTTGGCATGTTAGGTCAATTTTTCACATGCAAAGTTAAATTGGGATGCCGGGTCATGTTACGATCCAACTCGAAAATGATTCAACCCAAATTAGGTCAACCTGAATAGTAAATGCATCACATTTTAACCGGAACATGACTCAAAATATTCCAATTAACCTGAACTCGAATTTGAATCGTGTTAGCTGCATCACCAGCCGACCTATGACCTGAGATGCCTTCGAATATCCGCGGACCCCATGCTTCTCTTTCAGGTTTTAACCGACCTTGTAAGGTCCATTGTTACCTAAACCCAAACCAGACCATTTCCACGTCATGTCTCCCACCCTTTTATACGCCATTCGGTGCTGCTGGCGCTTACTTCCTAGTCTTGGGGAAGAAGCAGGTGCGAGCAAGCAGGCAGGTTGGTATAAAAAGGGAAGCAGGAAGAGGAGCAGAAGGAGATACCCGAGGAGGAAGAAGAGATGCATCTCTATAACGCATGGCTTCCTCCGCAAGTAGCCGAGGAGACGAAAAGGGAATCGGAGTCGTTTGCGGTCGTCGTGAGATCCGTAAAGGAGGCTTGGCGATTGGAGGATCCCGAATCTGTTTACTCCACTCTGAAGTGGATCTCTGTCCTGGACCTGTAATCTTATGGCTTCTTCCTTCTTCTAATCCTCCCCCATTTTTTTTTAATCCGAATTCGGTTTTTATGTGCCTTGCTGATTAGGAAACTTGGTTCTACGTTGCTCGATTCTTGCTCCATTCGTCATTTTGTTTTTTCATTTGATTACTTTGTTATTTTATCCCCGCGCTCCCTAACTGCCATCGTATTTGCATTTTAGTGGATTATGATAGCTTTTTTTTATTGTTTTGTAGCTTTATTAAAGCGAAGAGTGAAGTTTCTTTGGAAGATATAAAGGAGCTGGTTGAGTCTGGTGTGGAGATTTTTAATGCGTCACAGAACAAACTCTACGCCCAGGTAAGTATAATTGAGGTGCTGACAATATTTTCTATTCAGATGATAATTCTACTTGGATGAGTTGTTGCTGTAGTTGACGCTGAGTATTGTATATGGTGATTAGGTTAGATGGGGAAGTATGTTAGTTAAGTTCTTAAAGAAGCACGGCAAGAAGTTATCACTGAGAATCCACTGGAGGCCTTTGTATGATACTTTGATGAGGACGCACTTTAAAAGGTTGGTATCTTGTTTCATTTTTTACTTGGTTGTGTAGATCAAACAGTATGCGGGAGAGCTTTTTAACCCTACAACATTTTCTTTTTCTTGAGTAAAGTGCCAGAGTAGTCCCCTGGTCATTTACATGGAGCCATTTTAGTCTTTGAGTCTATAAAGGTGCCAAATTAGTTCACATACTCTTTTAATATGATCTGAAATGGTCCTAAGGGAGTACTATTTTAGCCCACATTTTAAAAATTAGATGACTAAATTGACACTTCTATAGACTTGAGACTTAATTGCCCCTCCAAATAATCTAGAGACCATTCTGGCAATTTTTTTTTTCTTTTTTTTTAATCCATTAATCTCATATAAACCTCTTTAGCTACACTCTTATTGGGTATTCTCTACCCGCATATGTGATCAATACTATTGATGCAAAAAAAACCTCGCTTTTATATATAAATGCCCGTGCCATGCGAAGAAGATCCATTATTGAGAAGTTCATGAGAGAAAACTAGAACTAGGCTAATGCATGAGGCTAAGCTGATCCATAGTCTATAGAGGAATTGATTTAAAGAGCCTTACCTCTGCATTCAACAATATATTTTCATAATTCACAATGGAATCAACCAAACAACTGCTCTTCATCGACCGCAAGAATTTACAAATTATAGGATGATAAAATAAACTTCCAAGTTGATAGGTTTTATGTATTTTGTTTAAAGAAAATGTTAAAAGCCAATTTTAGAGCTACAGGACTTCGAATTGCTTTCACCTCCACTAGAGTCAAGTTTAGAGATTATTACAGAGAAAATCTAGGAAGGGTAATTCCGTCACTTTCAATATAAAGTTCCATTAATTGTTTAAGATGAGTGAATGATTAAAGCTTTTATAATATTGCAAAGCTAAATAATGTGCATTGAATATGAAACTTCTTAGAATAGTTTTTTAGACTATGGAAATTGGAATCTTGATAAGGTCATAGCCCCTTTATATAGTTAATTCCGTCACTTTCAATATAAAGTTCCATTAATTGTTCAAGATGAATGAATGCCTTAAAGCTTTTATAATATTGCAAAGCTAAATAACGTGCATTGAATATGAAACTACTTAAATAGTTTTAAGACTATGGAAATTGGAAAATTGATGGTTTTTATTATCATGGTTGCTTAGCAAATTATCTACTTTGCAAAGCTATTATTTATTGTCATTTGTCAGTGTGTTGATGGTTTTTCTTAACAAAGTTTAGTTCTATTTCGCTTTTAATAGCCTGACTATTTTTCTAACTGCATATATTGAACAGAAATACAGGTCCAGAGGGATGGCGATTGAGACAACGACATTTTGAGACTGTTACATCTCTTATTCGTTCTTGCCGGAAGTTCTTTCCTGCTGGGTCAAATCATGACATATGGGCGGAGTTTAGGTATTTTTTTTATTGATAGCTACATCCATTTTATTTTTGTTTTGGTTAACTTATCCAAGCAAGTCACTAAACACTGCTCAATGGAACACATTTTGTTTGAATGATTTTTGGATTAGTTTGAAGTGTCATTAGCTGACTTTAATTTTGAGATTTGAAGGTGGCTAATGAAATTAGTTGGAGATTGAATATCCTTACTAGGAGGTTTGCTTGGAGTTAAAAAACTACACTTTTTCTTTCTTATGAGTTTTATTTGAAACGAATAAATTATTTATAGGTTTTAGCTATTTCTAGTGTGGTAAAATATGTTATTACTACTCTTTTCATTAAAAAAAAAAGAGGTTGGGGGGTGATTGGGGGCGGGCTAGATGACTTTTTGCTCTTCTACTTCTAGTTTTAAGTGTGTTGAGCGCTAGGAAGAGTTCAGCTTTGTGAAGAACGAGTTGATTGTTTATGTCAGTTGTGTTTCAAGACCAGATTGAAGCTGGACCACATTGAAATTTTCTTCTTTCTGTTAAACCTGAGGACCAAGTACCTAAAATAAGACCATTTAATGTGAAACCTGAATTGAACTATTTCTTATGTGAAATTTCTTTGAGGTTTGTGTCAATTATTTGTTAGAAGCATTAACAAAACCACTAATTTAATAAACAATGCACTGATTTTTATTATAACCTTCATAATGAATTGTATAAGTATTTCTATATAGCTTTTAAACTAATGTTTGCACCCATATTCTAGTTTGTATTCATTACCTATGAACTTTGGAGTAAGCCTGGTTTCGATCTAGCTAAATTTATAATTGATAGAGTTAGTTTGGTTCTCGATTTAACAAGAACATGTTAAACCGACATCTACTCAGGCGTCTGCCAAATAATTTAAATGCTTGTGTTAGGTGCAAGACTGGGCAATTTAGTCACTTGTTAGTTCTTATTTTGGGTTCTGCCAAAAAATTTAAATGCTTGTGTTAGGTGCAAGACTGAAAGGGCAATTTAGTCACTTGTTAGTTCTTATTTTGGGTATAAATATGGCTTTATATGTTTAGGGGTATGTTATGTGTGATTGTTTTTTTGAATGTAAGGGTTAGCGTTTTGGAGAGATCGCCCGACTCTTGAATTGTAGGTGTTTATCTTTTATGTATTTGGGATTGATGAGGGGTTGTGGTGTGGTTAGCACTGCCATGAAACATAGCTAATTTAGGTTAAAAAATAATTTCAAAAGGGACATTATTTTCATGAGCAAGTTTGTGTAAAATATAAACTGAGGAGTATGATTATTTAGTAACAAGAGATTTACTACAACCATGGATAGAAGTATGAAGATATGCATAATAATAGAAAATTTTAGGATTGAATGTTTTTTTTTTTTTTGTAAACAGGGATATTTGAGAAAGCCAAATGATAATTTAAGTATAATTTAGTTCAAAAGAAATTCAGCAAAAAATTAATAACCATTCAGATCACAATTCTATTGGAAGCTTCACCGTTTTTAAAAAACCTGTTTTCAATCAGTCTCACAAACCAATATTAAATATGCTAAGAAGAAAGAATAGGATAATATATCAAAAACACATAAAAACTTATAAAATGATATCTGATCCATGATGACAATGTCTATTTTACCGCTAGCAAATGACATAATGGCAAATAAGGATAATCACATAAACTTGATACATCAAAAGGTGCTGTCGATCCATTAACACAATGACTCACTCAGAACTGACTTATACATCTCTTAATACATAATCGTTACTAAGAAAAAGCTAAAAATTTTCTTCTTTACCTTCTACTTCTGCTTTACTGAAATCTGTTTTAATTTTGTTGGGTTTGTTACAAATTTGTAGGCCTTTTATGGAAAATCCTTGGCATAATTCATCTTTTGAAGGTTGTGGTTTTTTAAGGCTTTTTCTAACTACGAACTTAGAGAATGAAGATTTCTACACAAGGTGAATATAATGTCTATTTTATTGAGAGTAATTCCTTTTGTTTTCCTACATTTGTTCTTTGAATGATCCAATATTTCTGGGCTTGCAGTGACCGGATCAGAGAGTTCCTGGACCTATGGAGCTCCATTCCGAATTGCCAATTTTGGGATATCCAGTGGGCCTCCATTCTTGCACGTTGTATAAAGAATTGCAAGTCAATTGATTGGGAATGCTTTTTACCTGCACTTTTTACACGGTACCTAAATATGTTTGAGGTGCGCAAAAACTTATTTACATGTTTGTTTTGCATCATTTGGCTTAGTTTATCAATTTAAAAAACCTCCTAGCGTACAATAAATTCATTCATTTACATTTTGATCCAGCTCTCTCTCTCTCTCTCTCTCTCTCTCTCTCATTTTGATCCAGCTCTCTCTCTCTCCTCTCTCACCCACTCTCAAAACCCTTCAACTCTCGCAATTACCAATTCCATTCCTTTTTGATCCAGCTCTCTCTCTCTCTATCAAAGCCCTTGAAATTCCGCAACTGCCAGTTCCATTCCTTTTGTTCCTACACAAAATCCTATCTATCAAACCCTATTCTCATGCTATCGCCAACCTCCCCATCAATATATTTTTGATCATCGTCAACTCTACCAAGTACACAACCGATGCTTCTACTGACCCTTAGCATCAAACTTCATGTTCGACTTCCTAAATTCTCTCAACCTCAACCTAGATAGGCTCTTAGCATCAAATTTCATGTTCCTAGCCCTCCTAAACTCTCTCAACCTCAATCTAGATAGAGACTTTTCAACCCTTTTAGCTCCTGATTCTCCTCAGCCACACTAGTTTCAGCCTCACTCATTCGCTCTTTGCCTCAACTTTGTGCACACTCCCGCTTCATACTTAGACATGTGAGCTCCCAGGGCACTGCAAGCCCATTGATCTTCGATATGATCAAAATCCTTTACAATCTATAGTTTGCTATGCTAGTTTCCTGTTTAGCATATTGTACCATCTTAAGTTTAGTGACTTTATTGCATTCAAATACCTATATAAATTAGGTTTTCTTTCCCACTACTACTCCGTAGCTCTCCACTGTAGGAATAAAAACAGTTTGAAGACCTTATGTTCGTTTATTTTTTTATTTAACTTGAGTTGTATTTTCATGTCTAGTGATAATTGTAAATTGGAGCTCAAAGATCCCACATTCATCAGAACTTTGATCTGATTGGAAAGAATAACTTTCCACTGCTTTTATTCTATCTTTAATCCACCCAGAATCCCACCTCTGCATTCGTTGATCTTTGATCTGATCTAAATTTGTAGATATCACATTCTTCGTATCTTTGATTAGACCTGGAAAAAAATACCTCATGCATCCATCTTATGTTTGATCTTTGCTAGATTACCACATGTACATTGAGCTAGCCGGAGTTTGACTTCATTGGATGTTTATTTTGCTAGAGTTTTGCTTTTTTTTTTTTTTAATCTTTGATGCAAGTTCAAGGAAATGAATGCTCACCATTGTGGATATACTTGGACCAAAATCTTAGTAGTAAACTTATTGTCACTAGATTGCAATAGGTATGGTTATTGGAAGGCTTCAGCATTCTTGACATACCCATGACCTCCAATTAGTGTTAGGTGAGGTGCTATCATTAGTTTTGAAACCATCAACGAGAAAGGAAGATAGCAGGGTTGCATTTGCTACAGTGTAATACACGTATGCCATTTATAGTAATAATAAGTTTTTAAAAGAAAAAAAAGAGTTTAAATATGATACGGTGTATTAATTTTTAAGGTTAGGCCTCAAGAGATAAACATAATATTTTGTCGTAATCTGAAATAGGCGAACTAGATAAGAAATATTTTGCAAATTCATTGGTTCATCAAACAACTAATTATCTTTTAGTTTCTATTAAGAGCACAAAAGAAAAAAAGTAATAAATTGTATAGTAGCTCATGGTTGTATATAAAGGTTAGTACAAATGTTTTTTTTGGGCAACATATAGATCCTTAATGTTGAATTGGCTTTATTTGCTTTTAGAAGTGGCTTTGGCTGCCAAAATAGTCAAAAAAAAAAAAAGTAATAATAATTAGAAAAGTAAATGATTTATGAAAGTTCTACCAATGATATGCATTATGTATAATAGAATTACCATATGCTAAGTATGCGAATAAAGAATTTTGTTTTTGAGTATTTTGATTATTCTCAAGAGGTGTGCCAAGGCTTCATGCAATTAAAAAATTATTGGCAAAAATATATTATGGGCATACCCGGTATCTATAAATGATGCACAAATACCAATAATAATGCGAATAAGTTGATGAAACTTTTTCATAAACCAACATGTGTAGAAGTGCACTTTTGAATGATAAATGTTTCTAACTCAACCCAAGGATTTCAGTAGGTCCTTGGGGGACCCCTCACTAACCAAGCTATTATTTTACACTCTTCAGGGTCCCAACACAAAAATGTTTAGTGTCTTAGTTGATTAGGCATATACATGCAAATGACCCAACTTTGATCTTGCTATGAACCATTCACAAATGTTCCAAATTTGATATTGCTATGAATCATATGTCATTGACCTCATGGTGAATATATGTCATGCCGACAAACCGACAAAAAATCAAATTCAATTAATTAGGTTGTCTTGCTTACAGGGTGAGATCATAAGATCTACTTCATTTTGCTTTGCATATAATGTGAGGTCGTAAGACCTATTGTGACAAATAGCCTACAGGGTTAGGTTATTAGTCTCACTGTTAGACCTACTCTAATATGTGAGTCGTATGTCCCGCATCCAAACATGCCAAAATTTAAGATTGTAAACAAGTCAAAACCAGGCTATACACCCCAAATATTAAATCAAAACTTAGGCTTTCAAATGAATATAAACCCCATTCGAATTAAACTTTGTCATTCCAAGAGTTAAGAGCCCCATCTTAATTAAACTTGGGCCTCTAATGGTTGTAAGCCCCAACTTTATTATTTTGGGCCAATATAAAGTCATCAAGCCCACTAAATTAAAGCTCAAAAATTTTAATCGACGTGAAATTTGTCCCAAAATTTTGGTTTTCCAGCGGATACGAGCCAAAATCAAACCCTTATTTGATCAGTTTCCAAGCTAAGAACCTATTTTTGTAGGCGTCCCTCTCTCTCTAAAAAATCATGTGCTAATATCATGCACTTAAATATTTTTGCCGGACACCTTAATTTTCCTGTGAACTTGTGCTAAGTATTAGAAATTATAGAAGGCTATTGATTTTGTGTTAGTATATGCATGCTTGTTCATACATGTGAAGAAAGAAATAAGGGAAAAGCAATAATATTAATATGGGAATATAATAATTTTAATTACTCTTAACATTCGTCCACAATCTCGCAATGCTACCAAAAGGAACATCGGGAGTTTGTATAATTCAACATTAAGAGATCCAAACTGGGAGCTATTTAACATTTTTTAGAATTGCCAATTCTAGCCAATCTATTCTAGAATTAGATATACTCAAGGAAGCTGAGAATAGTCAATGCTTTGATGTTGGGCCAACATTGTCATGACCAAATGTGGTAAAATTTTTATGCGAGATGGGATCCTTACACAATCTTCATGAGCTCCTCGTAAGCTCTTCACATGATTCACACAGGATCTTTATAGATAGCCTCTCGAGTTTTCATAGGATCCCATGAGATATTATATCATGGGATCCTCTCAGAATCTTATAAACACAAAGACAAAGATGAATTGTTTAACTAAGAGACTAAAACAAGGCTTGTAAGATCACACGAGCAAGCGAAGCAAACATGAGCAGCAGTCAGGCCAGGCGCATTTAGTGAGTTTGAAAGTCACTTGCAAGGAACTTTGCCATTGAAAGCTTTGCCTCATAAACTTTAGGCGCCTTACCTAGCTTCTCCGCTTATGTTGGCACCCCCTGAACAGTGCTACTTTTGAAAAAGGTTGGAAGGAAGAGATGTTGCGAGATATAGTCCACTACTATTGAGTCAACAAAACTTTATTCTTATAGGGGATAAGCTTGCTGGCCATATTTTTATATTAAGCACCGGCTTCTTACTCGAGATTCAAATAAAAGTTACCTTAGAATACAAGGATTTAACCCAAAAGATTTTTGTCAATATGAGGTGTTCACTTGTGTTCTCTAATGTTTAAGCCACTGGCAACAAGCTATTAGACCGATGTCTACGACGCCGTCCGCCAAATAATTTGAAAACTTATGTTAGACACAAGACTAAATGTGCAATTTAGTCATTTATTAGTTTTTAAATATATAAGGTTTTATATGTTCTTGGTTATGTTATGTGTGTTCGTTGTCTTGAATCTTATGGTTAAGGATTGGGAGAGATTGCCCACCTTTGGAATTGTAGATGTTTATCTTCTATGTATTCGGGATTCTCCATTCGAATCACACGACATACTAGATCACAGTGTTGCCTTTGCGATCGAACCTCGCAATATAGTCGCGACTCAAGCTAGTGGGGAAGCCAACATCAGAACCACGACGTATAGTAGTTCTCCCTTTGTGATAAAAAATCATCGTGGTTGTAATGATGACCAAGGAAGTAGATGTTTTGGAGGAGAAGCTAGAGGGAGAGATGAACCGAATCTGGTATGGAATGAAGGAGTGTTTCTCGTACATGGAGGGGCAATTCATATCCATAAAGGGGAGATTGGCTATGGAAGAAATGATGAATAAGATCGTGAAGTTTCTGACAAATCCGTTGTCTCTTGCTGCGGGATCGAGCGACGACATTTGGAGCAAACACAAGCGGTAACAATCAGAAGGATTAGCACATAAGTGCAGCTTTGGTGCCTTAGGCAGACATGGAGCAATGGAATCAGAACCAGACTCGAGCGACAAACATTTGGAAGGAATAATATTACATCTGGATGGCTGGAATGAGTGGTAATAGGTGGAACAGGACAACTTATGATTCGGGACTGGAGAAGATAGATTTGAAGGATTTCGGCTTGGAACAGGGAACCACGGTGGGCAGGACCCTGATCGAGGGTTGCATCCAACCAAGCCAATGCCTTTTGTTAGGGCAGCCTTCTTGGCAGAAGGTGACTCAGCAGCCTATTGGGACGGGTGAGCTGATTATGGGGCGAGCCATACTTATGAAAGAAGAGAAAACATTATGGGCTAAGGTAGGGAACGCAACCCCCACTTCATGAGTGGAATGAATTTTATTCAAAGAAATTGGGTAAGAGACTCATGCTTAAGGAGGTTGAAATTGTTAATCTTTAAATGAG